CGGCCTTTCCGGGCTTTGGGGCGGGGCTGTCTGGATGCTGGATTCTGGGGTCTGGACTGTGAATTCTGGAGTCAGGAGTCTGGATTCTGAAGTCAGGAGTCTGCAGTCTGGAGTCTGCAGTCTGGAGTCTGCAGTCTGGAGTCTGCAGCCTGGATCTGCAGTCTGGAGTCTGGAGTCTGCAGTCTGGAGTCTGGAGTCTGGAGTCTCCAGTCTGTCTGTGGAGTTTGCATTCTGGAGCCTGGAGTCTGCAGTCTTGATTCTGGAGTTGGCAGTCTGGAGTCTGGAGTCTGCATCGGGAGTCTGGAGTTTGCAGTCTGGAGTCTGCACTCTGGAGTCTGCAGTCTGCAGTCTGGAGTCTGCAGTCTGGAGTCTGCAGTTTGGAGTCTGGAGTTTGCACTCTGGAGCCTGGAGTTTGCAGTCTGGAGTCTGCAGTCTGGAGTCTGGAGTTTGCAGTCTGAAGTCTGCAGTCTGGAGTCTGCAGTCTGGAGTTTGGAGTTCGCAGTCCGGAGTCTGCAGTTTGGAGTCTGCAGTCTGGAGTCTGCAGTCTGGAGTCTGCAGCCTGGAGTCTGCAGTCTGGAGTCTGCAGTCTGGAGTCTGGAGTTTGCAGTCTGGAGTCTGCAGTTTGGAGTCTGCAGTCTGGAGTCTGCAGTCTGGAGTGTGGAGTTTGCAGTCAGCAGTCTCGATTCTGGAGCCTTCATTGAGTCTTGCAGCCTTTCATCCGCGCACTCACAATCCAAACATGCAAAAAATCGCAAGGTGCCATCAGACCACCGCTTCAAGTGCCATCTCGAAATAAAAATCACGCCGAACAATTCCTGGGCGGACCAGCCGCCAGCGGACAACCGCTTCAAGTGCCATCTCGAAATGAAAATGAACGTGGCAAAAAAAGCTTGGCGGACCGGCCGCCAGCGGAACCACCGCTACAATGATATATCATCAAACGAGAAAAGCAAAATGGGCGGACCGGCCGCCGGCGGAGAAACCACCCCATGCGACTATATGAAGGCGGACCGGCCGCCAGCGGAGACACTATATAGAAACGATTATCGCACAACAAAATTAAACCGAGTCAATCAGTGCAAAAAATGCTCCGGCTCCATCGAGCCAAGCGTGCGAAGCAGCGCGAACAAACAGCGTAAACTGCATGCGCGCGCGCACTGCCCTGCTGCGTTGAGTCACACGAAAATGTGTGATTTCCAGCGCGTAATGCTTCATCACTGCCATGCTTCAAAACGCATGTGTTTGCAAACTCAATGAACTTAGAATGAACTTAGCGGACTTAGAAAAACCTCTTTTCTAAGTTCAAGATAAGTTACTTATAAGTCCAAGATAAGTGCTAAGTCACTTATACCTCCAGCGTAAGTACGACCCTATCCCAGTAAAATCTCTTCTTAGGGCGGCGGGGTAGTGCCGACGACACTACACGAAAATCGACCCTCTGCGGGGATCGGCGTGGTCGAGGTGCAAAAACTCGAGGTGTTTTGCAAAAACTCGAGGTTTTTTGCGATTTCTGCGGTGCTCGCGCGACCCTCTGCGGGGATCGGCGTGGTCGAGGTGCAAAAACTCGAGGTTTTTTGCGATTTCTAAAGTTCGCGCGCGACCCTCTGCGGGGATCGGCGTGGTCGAGGTGCAGAAACTCGAGTTGTTTTTTGCGATTTCTGCGGTGCTCGGGCAACCCTCTGCGGGAATCGGCGTGGTCGAGGTGCAAAAACTCGAGGTGTTTTGCGAGTTTTGTTGTGGTCCTTGGGAGCTGTCTCGTGGTTCGCGTGCCTGCTCCCGGGACCGGCGGGTCGCGGGTTCGATTCCTCCCTGGTCCGCGGGCGGGCGTCGCAAGATGCAACTTGCACAAAGGAACTTGCGCAGAGCAACTTGCGCAGAGCAAGTTGCACAGAGCATCTTGCGCAGACCAACTTGCACCGACGAGTTTGCGCAGAGCGCCTTGCCTAGAGCAACTTGCGCAGAGCAACTTACGCAGAGCAACTTGCACAGAGCAACTTGCACAAAGCAGCTTGCACAGAGCAACTTGCAGGGAGCAACTTGCACGGAGCAATTTGCACAGAGCAACTTGCAGGGAGCCACTTGCAGGGACCAACTTGCACGGAGCAACTTGCGCCGAGCAACTTGCACAGTGCAACTTGCGTAGAGCAACTTGCGCAGACCAACTTGCACCGACCAGTTTGCGCAGAGCACCTTGCCTGGTGCTGTCTCGCGCTTGCTTCACGAATGCTTCGTGTAGGGAAAAAGAACGCATCCTGCAGCGTTGGGCCGACCTCGCTTGCGATGTTGTGCTTTCGGGCCAACCGTGGTCTAGTTCTTTTGTGAAACATGGAAAATGAGGGGGCTGTGTAGAACCCGCTTTCGGCAAAAAAGCCCCTTAGCTTTTCAAGGGCCTTGACAAGCTGGGGGTCTCAACCCCAAAACAATAGAGAAACCTGAAGGGAAGCATCCCAGGCTCACATGTAATTTCAAAGGGGGCGTCCTCTAATTGGCAAATGAGAAGGCTTGCGTGACCTGGGATATCCCCCGCTTCCTGGCATTCGCTGATTCTTCTGTGCCCCCATCCCCAAACTGGATGCGAATACTGGTGGCACACAGCTGCACGAAAGCAGAAGTCGGCAGCAACAAATGATCCATAGGTTCGGACATACATCAGCTGAAGCATGTGATGGCCATTGCCGGTTCATCGGGTCCTCAAGATTCTACACGTGCATGGGAAACCTTGGCCAAGACAAGGAACAAACAAAGCATCAACATATTGTCCAAGGGGAGCCACCGTTGAGGCAAGAGCTAAGCCCACTCCCAATTAATTGATAAGGGGGTGTCCGATTTATATCCATCTTTCCTCTTACATACCAGGGAGGTAGGGATTCCCCCTTCAACAGCGTAAGCAAACATGACCTGGGGGTAGGTCTTGCTTCACAAAACCGAATCGGGCCAAAAGAAAGGTATCAAAAGCTGAAACCGTGGTTGGGAGGGCTTAGCAAACGGAAATCAACCATTTGGGTCAGAAAAGAGACCTGTGAAATCAATCGCAACGAGCTGCTTGAACTGCGGCCTCCTTCGAGTTGGACAACTTCTTCTTGGAGAGCCGCTCGAAGAGCGAGCAAGCCAGTCCTGAGTGGATGTGGATCTGTGCAAACTTCCCCTTTTCTGATGGGCTTTCGATGTGCATTCCCTTGAATCAGTGGTGTGAGAGTAACCACCGAAAAACCAGCTATTTGAATCAAGTTCGAGACAAAGCCATGGCTGTTGCATCCGATGGCCTGAGGTGGCGCTTGGATTGGATTTCAAGGACATATCCTGGATTGCATGTATGCCCCGACACAGCTCACCATCTGCACATTCAAAGTGGAGCTATGGCACAAACTCGGTGCAAACTTAGATCCGAAAACGGACAAGAGGAAATTCTGAGCCATGATCAAACACTCTCAGGGTCATGCTCGTGGCTCCCTTGACAGGAATCAGGAATCCTTACGCTGGTTGCCCCACTCAGGTACCCCATGGCACGTCTAATGCAAGACTGGTGGTTCTATCACAGCCAAGCGGTTGCGGCAAAAACTCTCGTACATTGCTTCTGCAGTTGCGAGTCCGTGGGCAACAAGTTGGTCACGCTTTTTAGCCTTCATTCTTCCCTCGCTGGCGAGGATGTTATCAGGTGGAGCTGAATCTGGTCATAGTTTTGAACATGGCACCTGTTTCCCCTTTTGAGATTCGAGAAAGAGGCATCGTTCAACACGCCACCTGGGCAAAATACTATGGTGCAAACCCCACAAACATGGAATCCCCAACAAGGGGCCGTGATCATGGGTCAGCCCGTTTTTCCCAGGGTGAGCTTGGTAGAATTTGCATGAACGGTCCAAATTACGAACGTTTCAACAAAAAGACATGGGCAAATTGGTGCCCTGCTTTTTGAGGGACGTTTAGAGCTCGTGCCTTACTCCCAAATGGACCATGTCCAGTGACCCAACCCCATGGCGCCAAAACTTCTCCGGTTTTCGCCGAAAGGCCCAGCGTGCCAGCGTCCCGGTTCTTCACCACAGGCCGCAGCTGCCGGTGGTCTCCCACCAGAACCTCAGACGCCGATCTTTGTTTTGGAAATATCACCCGAGTAAACTCAGCGAAACCCGGTACAAAAACCCCAGGTTTGCACACCCCTCCAAAACCAGGGGTCGAGGGGCACTTCCCTGGTCTGCAGTTTGTTGTGGGGGGGGGAGTCCCTTTCCACACTTGAGTCAAAATCAAACCCGGTACAAAAATGGTGCACCCAGAACAACGTAAAGAACTAAGAAGGCGGCAGCTGTTTATGCTTGGGATCGTCCCTTACTAACCTTCATCTACCCGAATCGGTTTTGAGCACGTGGCTCAACTGGCTTAGGGAAGGGGCCACCATGGCCACCACCCTTTGGCTTCGAGTCGTTAAAGATGAGTTGTGTTTGGTTGCGGCCGGTTGCCGCAATTCACAGCCAAAAAGCCTACCAACAGTTGAACAATTCACCACACAGGTAAGCCAGGGTGACCGCAGCTATGAAGAACAAAGAAGAGCTTCTGGTTGCGTTGCTGGCCAACTGGAGGGATCCACCAGCGCAAGGCTTAGGTGTCTGGGTTGAGCTGGGCCAGCTTGCTTAGAGACCACCACCCTCTTGCTGCACAGCTCGAACCATGTCCCACCATCCCAATGTCGTGCAGGCAGTCGTGTTGTTTCAGTGCGGGGAACCTCCCGGTCTGTGTGTGTGCGCGCACACATGTGCCCAAATAGGAAGACCCCCAAATGTGGCGGTTCCCTTTTGGTCTGCCTTTGAACCAAGCACCAAGGGTACCCTCCAAAAAGCACACCACAGCCATGTGTCTCCTCATCCTAAAGAGTGACGCTTCTCCAGTCCAAAGCGCGTGGTTTCTTGCTGCAAATGGCTTCTGCACAAATCACAAAGGCTTTCCGCTTACCTTCCATCACACATTTTAACCAGCAATGCAAGGAGGACGCAGAAAGCAAAGGCCTTTTTAGTCGGTCACTGGTATTCTCCTCGAGATGGATTCGACTGCCTTTGCAGCGGCCAAAACTCGCGGCTTAGCCCATGTTCTCTAAGCCCTGCTGAGAAATCCATGTCATGCACTAATCATCCGCAAAGCCCAGCATTCCGATGAGGTACTCTTTAAGCACCACAGCCTCAATCGCTGAGCTCATGCTGACACTAGACACTCTCTGTGGAAGACACCAGCATGCTACATCTTACCGCGAATCTACTACCTACCACAAACTAGAGCTCGCCATTAGAGCTCACCCTTCTGCTTCTTGGCATGATTATGCACTGCCTTGAGCAGTCCAAGACCTGAAGATTTGATCTCCTCCACATCTTTATCCTTCTTGTCGCTGCCCTCCTGGTACTGCTTCTGCAGGCCCTCCACGAAGGTCTTGAAGCCGGACTCCAACTTCTCAATCTCGGCCTCCTTGTCTTTGATCATGCTCTCACGCTTCGATGCATCAAGAGCCATGAACTCATCGAGCTGCTTCTTCTTCTCATCACTGCACAGCTCTGGGTTGGCTGGGCTGCACATGGGTCCCAGGCCCTTGGCAAACTTCTGCAAATCCGCGAGAGAGCGGCCACCACTGTAGTCCTGAAGGTCATCCGGGTCGCCATACTTGATGGACGGGTAGCCCCTGATCCTGATCTCTTCACACTTGCTCTTGCCACCTGCGGTGCAGTCCACATCGGCAATAAGGATCGAGGAGGAGGATTCGTACTCCTTCATCAGCTTGTCCCAATCCTCTCGATCGGCCACACTTGCCGTTCACTTTGAATGAATTGTGTGGGTGTGTCTGTGTTTGTGTGTGTGTGCGTGTGTGGCAACGTGATTGAGGCCGAAGTTGGATCGAAAACAATGCTAGCTACCAGTTCCCCAACAAGCATGTTGCATGTTTTGACAAAGACAAAAATCAGGTTGCTGATCCAAGTAATCTAGGCAACTGATGAGAATTGCTGCACTGCTTGCCAAGCGTCGGGCTTCATCTTCTTGCAGTGGCCTCACCATGGCGCCAAGAACTTCACGAAGACGGTCTTGCCGCTGACTGCAGCATCCCAATTCTCCTTGGTGAGCTCTTTGGCATTGGCCAAGGCCAAAAGGAGCAGCGCTACCTTCATGTCGGCCAGCAAGAAATCTCTAAAGGCAACAGGCTTGGTCCAAAATCTCCTT